AAGAACCCAGGATTTGATAGTTAATTCCACCGTAAACAACAGTCAAACGAAATCTTAACTCATAAGACTCGAATTGCACATACACTCAAAGCTCTCTTGTGTAAATATTGACGCGAGCGCGAAAAAATTTGAAATTTGTAGATATTTTACATAAGACCTTGTAGGGGCCGACGTAAATTGGAAAATCTACGTCGGACACAAGCTATATCCGACGTAGATTTTCTTTTTTACGTCGGCCCCTATGAGGTCTAACGTAAAAAACTTGATTATAATTACAAAAATACTACTACGTTTTTCTAACGTCAAATTTTTCTTTGTCCGACGAAAATACAATGACGTAAATTACCCTTTTTCTACTAGTGATCAAAAGAAATTTATCTTTCTCGCGTTCTCTTTTATTTTTCTCTTATCAAATAACCTCAATTTTCATTTTATTTTCTCCCTACTAATATTTTTTTTTTGTCTATTTATTTCTTCCTCACCAAACAAAATATAAATGTGTAATATGTAAATCCGAACTTGCATCTAAACATGTAATTAGGCATTTAGCGCGGCAAAAGTGCTGGGAGCAATATCTCATATCGTTGAGAAAGCTTTTGGTTTCCTGCGAACCCGCACGCAATTGCAGCATGTCGAATGCTATATTCACACTTCCTTTTAATTCAATTTTTGCAAATTTTCCGTTTTTATTTCTCATTTTGTTTGATTGGTTGAATTTCATGTTTTTATTATTGAAAAAAATATTTTAATCTCTTGTTTTTTAAAATACAACATTAATTTTTTGTCTAATTAAAAAAACACAAACTTCTAATGAAAAAAATGATACGTTCTTGTCCCGTACATGACACTTTTATTATAATTTTCAATGCAGCTTACCAAAAAAAATACTACTTAAACTAAATTAATTTTTTAAACTAAAGGAGATAAATGCATTTTTTTATGATGAAATATCAACTTAAACTAATTAAAATAATAATAATAATAAAAAGTCATTTATTCTTCAAGTTTTTATTCTAATATATACAACCAAAAATTTTCGTTCCGGTATAAAGACTATTTCCAGAAAAATCTAATTGTTGTCCAAGTGAACACTCAAAGAGGTTCTTCACGTGAGAGGGTCGAGGTGGCACGTGCCTCATTGTGGAAACAGCACATATCTTGGGCCATTCTAAATTTCAATCGGTATAAGGGTGAAACGGTAACACAGGTCAAGTACGCCCCAGTACACAGTAATTTGAGCCAAAATCATATTTGAATGTCTACACTTCTTACAGATATACCAAAGGCGGAGAGATAAGAAATTTTTGGATGAAATGGAAATGACAAGTACAAATGGAGTATTTGTAAATTTGTAAGTGTCCAAATGTCATCACTCATACCCCATTTTTTAGATAAAGAATGCATGTAATGGGAAATAAAGAGAAAGACTGAAAAACAGATTTTATATATTTGCTAAATAATAGAGATTAGAATAAAAATCTTCAACATAAGAGAAATCTGGTAGAAAAAAATTATAATTTTATAAGGGGTAAAGTAATAATAATTATGAACTAAAATAAAGAAGAAGAAAAAAGTTTTAAGAGCAGGATCAAAATAAAATAAAAGCAACTATATGTATTAAAGGAACCAAAAATTATTTAGGATAAATATTTAATATTATATATGATATTATATGTCAAGAATCCCAACATTCTTTCTTCTTCTCTCCCTCAACCAACCCAATAACTCCTCATCATCATCATCGTACACTACACACATGACATGCATGTATCTTCAATGATTCCGTAGCGAAACCACACGTACGTACGCTAGCTAGCTTGTGGGGTAGTTTTTAATTAATAATCCTCTTCAATCAATGGCCTTCAACAACAACAAGCATGTTCTGTTAACATTCGCAATATGCTGTTTAATAGTAACGGTGGGACTAACGGTGGTCCCAGAGCCGCTCGATGTTGGACTCGAGGGTCGACTGAGCGTGAACACGCGGGAGCTGGAAGCGGTTTCGGTGGACTTCGGGAGGCTGAGCAGAGGGGAGGCTTGGGCGGTGGTGCAGCCCGCGACGGCGGAGGACGTGGTGCGGGTGGTGAAGGCGGCGTTCGAAGCGCCGTTCGCGGTGTCGGCAAGGGGGCACGGGCACTCGATAAACGGGCAAGCCCTGATAAAGGAGAAGAAAGGAGTGGTGATTGAGATGGTAAAAGGGGGTGGTAGCAACAACGGCGACAAGGAGAATAGTATAAGGGTGAGGGAGAAAGGGATGGATGGGGATGTGTGGGGGGGGGGGGTGTCCTCCGCCGTCGCGGGCTGCACCACCGCCCAAGCCTCCCCTCTGCTCAGCCTCCCGAAGTCCACCGAAACCGCTTCCAGCTCCCGCGTGTTCACGCTCAGTCGACCCTCGAGTCCAACATCGAGCGGCTCTGGGACCACCGTTAGTCCCACCGTTACTATTAAACAGCATATTGCGAATGTTAACAGAACATGCTTGTTGTTGTTGAAGGCCATTGATTGAAGAGGATTATTAATTAAAAACTACCCCACAAGCTAGCTAGCGTACGTACGTGTGGTTTCGCTACGGAATCATTGAAGATACATGCATGTCATGTGTGTAGTGTACGATGATGATGATGAGGAGTTATTGGGTTGGTTGAGGGAGAGAAGAAGAAAGAATGTTGGGATTCTTGGGAAGGTCGAGAGAAGAGAACAAAATCCTCGAACAGCGTCGTGGGTTAACGTAAGCACGATTTCGCTTTAAAGATTCTGTACGCAACATGCAGAAAGATGAAGATTCTTGCTCTCACTCACTTTCTTTGATTCTTTGCTAAGCCTTTCTCCTTATTATTATTTAAAAAAAAAAAAAAAATATGCATGTGCAGATTAAGGGGCGTGTAGATCGTATAAGAAAACGTAGAAAGAAAGAAAGAAATAGAAAGGAATGGATCTGTAGGAAGTAAGAAAGAAAAAAGGGTTTGGCATGAAAATTAGAAGGACTGTGTGTCTAGGATGTAAGATACAGGCTCTCATTTTATAGGACAGAGGACCAGAGGCTGAAGGTGAGACTAAAGGCACGTGGTTCTTCACGTGAGAGGGTCGAGGTGGCACGTGCCTCATTGTGGAAACAGCACATATCTTGGGCCATTCTAAATTTCAATCGGTATAAGGGTGAAACGGTAACACAGGTCAAGTACGCCCCAGTACACAGTAATTTGAGCCAAAATCATATTTGAATGTCTACACTTCTTACAGATATACCAAAGGCGGAGAGATAAGAAATTTTTGGATGAAATGGAAATGACAAGTACAAATGGAGTATTTGTAAATTTGTAAGTGTCCAAATGTCATCACTCATACCCCATTTTTTAGATAAAGAATGCATGTAATGGGAAATAAAGAGAAAGACTGAAAAACAGATTTTATATATTTGCTAAATAATAGAGATTAGAATAAAAATCTTCAACATAAGAGAAATCTGGTAGAAAAAAATTATAATTTTATAAGGGGTAAAGTAATAATAATTATGAACTAAAATAAAGAAGAAGAAAAAAGTTTTAAGAGCAGGATCAAAATAAAATAAAAGCAACTATATGTATTAAAGGAACCAAAAATTATTTAGGATAAATATTTAATATTATATATGATATTATATGTAATTGATTTTATTATTTATTGATCAATTATTTTAATATAACTATCTATAAAAAGAATTCTCTAAAATTAAAGTTGGCATGGTATTAATGATTTTTTATGTACACTGAACATTTTCTTTTAAAATGACTATGGGGTACAATAAGGTTTTACAAATTGTATTCTATTTAAAAAAAATGTAGAAAGTAAAGAGATGAAAATTGCAAAATAAGATGAGTGATATAAATAAAAATCATTATAAGAAATGAATATAAAAAATAAGATAATTATTACAAATTAATTCCCTTTCATGGATCCTTGTCCCAGGTTTCATTTAATATATGGCTCCCATGTTCGATTTAATATGGAAAGGTCTAGGGGACAGACAGATAAAAATAGATGACTCAAATTTTACTTTCAGAACTCAGATTTAACATACAATATTTAACATTTAAAAATCACGGATGAAAAATGATTTTTAATTTTTTTTTAATGTTCCATCAATATGTCTCATTTTCTTTGTGTCTTTCTCATTATCACCTTACATCATTTTGAGTAAGAGATACACATAAAAATGAAGTTGAGTGTTAAGTTTTTTTTTTTTTAACCTTTCACATATTTTGTGTGTGTCTCTCCTACGGGATTTTTTCAATATCGGAGAGGATTCATATTGTATTAATTTATTCCCCTGTCAAAATATTTATTAATTAGATTTAGAATGTGGAAATTATATTTTTGGTTAGAGTAAAATTATCTGCGGAGTGTCCTTATGAGGGTCCACGTATGGATACGGAGGATCTGTGTGGGGACATTGGATAGAAGGATGGTTCACGTGGGTGCAGAGTGCAGAGACGGGGACTGGGATCATCCTTAACTTAACGCACATTCTCTCTTCTTTTCCTTTTCTTTGTTATTAATTCTTAGTTTAATTAGGCACTTGTAGCACTCAACATAAGCAATAGCATATGTAAATGTCTCCTATGCTATGCTAGCTGTATATAAATCATAGAGTCATAATCACTCAATTATGTTCCCATTTCAAACGAACCTTAGCTATCCCCAACTCTCAAGGGTCCCAAAATAAGAAAGTCATAGTCATACTTTTCCTTTTTCTATGAATCTGTTTACTTTTGTTAATTTATGTTGCGTTTATGGGTTCCAAGATTTTAGAGGAGTATCATGAAAATCTCAAGATAATGAGTTACATTTTGATAT